TGTTTGTTTGTTTATTTATTGCTGGGCAGAGTTTTGTAAAGTTGTGTTGGCTTAAACAATGAAGTGGACCGATCAACAACAATTGACCTGTCAATTTCTGATGTATCAACAACTATTGCCAAATCAATGATAACTCATGGCCAATCAACCCCCCATGACGAATCGACAGAAACTCTGAACAAATCAACAGGAACTTATTTATTTATTTGTTTGTTTGTTTGTTTATTTATTGCTGGGCAGAGTTTTGTAAAGTTGTGTTGGCTTAAACAATGAAGTGGACCGATCAACAACAATTGACCTGTCAATTTCTGATGTATCAACAACTATTGCCAAATCAATGATAACTCATGGCCAATCAACCCCCCATGACGAATCGACAGAAACTCTGAACAAATCAACAGGAACTATTGAGGAATCAGTGACGACTTTTGATGACTTCACCACGATTATGGGCAAATGAAAAACTGTTGCTGAACGTGGATGCTGAAAAGACTGCAAGTTAAAGTGTTGAGTAAGTCGATAAATGGCATTTGGAGCATTTTGACTGATCTTTCAAGGCTCACAGAAGACTGTGTTTTGTGTGAACATAGAAACCACAAAATGAAAGATTAGACTCTGTTCTAAAATGTTTTTACCTTATTTGATTCTTTTGTAATCAGCAGAACATGGGTTGGTTTCCCCCCAAACGCCTTTTATATACCAAACAAAAGAACAAAATAATCTTTTTGTGATTTATTATTTTTTCATGTGACTTATATGCTCATAAGTGTGGATGGCACTTCTCGTTAGGATTCCCAATGACGGCATTTCCCGTCAACGGCGCTCGGAGACTTAATTCATGTATTTATTTTAGCAGAAGTATAACCTATAAGATTAAAGCATTTATGAATATTGTTTTTTGTCCTATAGATTGATTTTTTTGCCTTTGTTTCTTAAAAAAAAAACATGGATTGAAATCGCAAAATTGAGGAACAAAGAAAAAAAAAAAATCACAAATTCTTTTAAGCGTGGCCATTCATCCAGCATACATGATAAAATAATGTTTTTGCTTTCGCTTCCCGCAAAATAACGAGCTCTAATCCGAGACAATAATTCCGAGTTACTTCAAATTGCGCCGTGTGCGGGTGTCCCCGATCGAGTGTCCCCGAATGCGCACGAAAGGCCATAAAATGTGATCCGAAGGCTCCTCCTCATTGTCTATTGCCGGCTCCTCTTAGCTTTTCACTTCTTCTGGTCTCACTCCACCTCTTTTGCCTCACACTTCTGTCTGCTCCATCACCCCCCTGATGCCACCCCCCCCTCCGCCAAGCACGCTCTCGCCCATCCGGGCTGCAGCATCTAATGATGGTAATAACTCTCTCAAATGTTGCCTCTGGTCTCGCCCTGGCTCCTCGCCGCCCCTCCGTTCTTCCTCCCTCTTCCCGTCTCTCTGGCTATCTGTCTTTTTTTGTCCTTTGCCCAATGTAGCTATTAGCCATCCACTGCCCGCCTGCGGCACTTCGCTCCGAGGGGACGAGACTGGCGAGGGGGGAGTGGGGCGAGGAAGGATGGAGAGAAAATATATGGAATTAAATAGAGAGATCCGCAGATGTCAGCGCTGCACATCCTCCATCTGTCCCCCACCCCGCTTAAGCCCCAACCACCCCCCCCCACCCCACCCCGCCTCCCCCCGCTGCTTATTGTTGTTTCTCCACACTTCTACAAGCCTTTTCTGTTTCCCTGCATCCATCTTGTGGATCATCTCAATTTGGTTTGCTGTTTACCTGAGTTCCGGTTGGTGGAGCGTCCCGCTGGCTCCTTCTTGGGAGGCAGCCCGTATGGACCTGTGAGAAGGAGGGGGGGCGGTTGTTGATGAGTATTACTACACCGGACGCTTGATATTTTCAAACGAGTAGTTTAATTTGCATATTTGCGTTTCTGTCCTCCGTGGGTGTTTTGTTTGGCTTTCTCTTTCTTGATTGGCAGCACAGTGATGTCACGCGAGAATGAAAGGATTCCAGGGGACAGGATAAGAAGATCGTCATATTTTCGCAATAAGGCCGGAACGGCTCGTAATCTGCGCTCGCTAAATCGGCCCATCTGCCTTTGAGTCTGTCACTGTCATGGTGATTAAACGCGTACGCCATCGAGTGCACTGAGCATGCCTTAAATCAAACAAGAAGAAAACAAAATCGTGAAATCAGGAATACTGCATTTTATTTCAACAACATTATGTGCCGTCAAGAAATATACACGGGCTAGTCGAAAAAAACGCTTACAATTAATGTAAAGTATTAACAGAAGTATATATATATATATAGAGAGAGAGAGAGAGAGAGAGAGATAGATAGATAGATTCCGATCAGCTGAAAATTGTGATCTGCGCCGATTTTTGATCACGTTGATTGGATCGGGACAACCCTGAAAACCAAGATGGTGTCGGCCCGAGCCCGATACCTGGTCTCGGTACTCGCCCATCCCTATTCATAATCATAAAATCTCAAAAATTATGATTAAAACAAAGGAATTTAAAATACAAATATATAAAGCGAGTAAATGGAGTTAAAAAAAAAAAAAAAAAAAAAAAAAAAAAACGCCGTACCACAGGGTGCAACAAAATGGAACAGAAACAACCAACAAGGGGATATCGAACGGGAAACCGCCGGGTCGCCTTTTACAGCGCCCCATTTCAAAATATATAAGGGAGGGGGAAAAAAAAAAACAACAACCATAGACTAAGCTCCTGTAAGGGGAGCACAGTACGGAATATAAAATTGCTCATGAACATTACACGATCTGATGAAGTCCTGTTGAGGGTTACGTGAACGAAAAGTCCTGGTATCAGTGGTGGCTAGGACAAAAATTTTACAAAGCTTTTCGGGGATGGCATCAATTTCTTGTGGTTTGGGTTTGGGCTTGATTAGCCACAGTATTTTAACAAGGTAGGAAAGAAATGAATATCAATTTGCAACTTTTTTTTTTCAATAAATAGGCATTTACATTTCTCCACCATATCAAGAAAATCACAATTTCCAATCGCTGGTCAACTATTTGGGCTGGCATGGCACCTGTGTGGCGGTTGTGTGGATTCTCTTCACAAAGTTAATTTTTTTTCTCTGTTTTTTGGACAGAAACCGATGTTTTTTTTTTTTTGGACAAACCAACACATGTTCGACTGCTGAATACTAAAAAAAAAAATGCAAGCAAACATTTTACACATACTTGTGACATGGTGATTCTATCTTGCAATCTTACAAAGGTAATGGAAAGGCCAATTCATTTGAGTTGTTTTGGCGACAAGCTCATCAGAATATATGACTTATTTATATGAATTCTCAACTCAACTCTTTTTTTATTATAAATTATTATAAATTTATTATAAATTACTCGGCCAAAACTAACATTGAGAAAAATAAATTTACGAACAAAAAAGAAAAATGGAACTGGAAAAACATCTTACGTTGATAAAAACTAACCGATGATCGGAAAAATGTCCTCTGTTTTCGCTGTAGGGTTTCCTTTTAAATGTATTTCTTTTGATGAGAAGTAGTAGTAGACTTTTTGTACACAATAATTAGTCACTTTTTTCATCTTTCCCTCAACAAAATACAGTACTCCATATATTTAAAAACAACAACCGAAAACTAATACTTAAACTAACAATGAATGGACTAAAATGTAGCATTTAAAACAAAACAAACAAAAAAAAAAAACCCTTAATTTGAAAAAGAAAATTCAAATTAACGACTGAAAAATCCCAACCGAATTTCTTCTAACCCCGGTTGGCATGTGAAAGCATCACCATTCAGCCGGCAACACGTTTCTGTCGACTCTGCTGATGCGACGGCTGATAGCGGCGACACAATACAAGCGCGCGTCGAACAGAGCGGGGCGGGGTCGCGTGAAGGACACGTGGCTATTATGTGCGGGAATGTGCGGCTCAGTGTTTGAAAGCCACTTTTTTTTCCCTTCCAAAGCGAAATAGCGGTGGCCAAAATTCCCGTCCATGTTTACGTTTATAACATGTGGAGTGCGAGTGGTTTAAAGCGAGCACAAGTGGAGTCAGTGGGCCTCATTAGAGCTGACTTGTTGCGACACTTTTCCGCCGTTCTCGCCACTAAACAAGCTCTAATATGCTCGCTGAGAGGAGCCACCCACAACAAAGCCTGTGTGTGTTGTATCTACATGCGGGAAAGGCACACGTAGATGAAAAACATCGCTTCAGTTTTCGGGCGATCATAGCATTTCAGACTCACTCTGCCCCACTTTCAGGACCACCTTCATGCCCTGCGTGGCACAAACTCCTCCCCTCATGCTGTCCAGACCTTGGCGGGTCCCATCTGATGTAGCTGCAGGGACACAAAGACAAAATGGCATCGTTAGCGACATATACACACACACATACATCGTACAAAGTCCACAGGCACTCAAACGGAACAATGTCTCTCCGTTTCAAACAATAAATTTGACTCATATCGTCAACCATTCCGGGGAGCCGACAAGTGACATTTGCGGAAGCGGCAATTTAAAAGCCAGACTCGAAACTTTGAAATGTCAAACTAGAAAGCCGACGAGCACTTTAATAAGTCCTCATTTTAAGCTGCTCGCCGGCATCCATTAAGAAACCCGCCGGCGTCGCTTGGACTCGACCACTTTCACTCCGATTCAGGCTGCACAAGCCACGCTGGATTAATACGGGGTTTGCGGCTGGCAATTTCGCTTTAAAGTGAGATTTAGAACGTGTAATTGGCGGCCATTAAAAAAAGCCCAGGACAGAAATGTCTTGCGAGTGATGAAAAGGCGAGCCGCAGTCGTGATTTTGCTCGTTTTATCTGAGCTCAATTGAATCAGCTATTTCGGGGTTAACAACCTGAGCAGTCACTTGAATGTGTAGAACTTAAAGTCCATGTGCACACACAATGGAGGCGTGTTGTCAACACCCCTGAAAAATTTGAATGATCAAAAAATAAATAAATAAACAGAAATCACCCTGCATACAAATGAGGCAATCATTTAAAATGAGGCCATTCTCTCCATAATTGAACACTGCAATGAGGCGCTCAAGAGTAAACACCTGTCCACATCAGAGTTCTGACAATGGACTTAAAAAAAAAAAACCCAAAAAAATCCCACCTCCTCCCTCATCTGATCTTCTGGACACGCGCGCACTCATGGCTGACAATGTGGCACGCTAATGTGGCCATGACATTGCAAAGCCCCTTTCCACATCATACCTGTCACAACAGACTAGAAAAAAAAAGTAATCATCCCAATTTACATCTCATCAGACTTTCTGTGCATGCCGCGCATGCACTCACGGCTGACAATGAGGCACTGTAACATGGCAATGCCAATTCGAAGCCCCTGTCAAACCGAGCGCTAGCTATCAAGCCAGACTCCGCTCTACCCCATTCTCTCATTTGCCTTCTCTCAGCGACATGCACAGTTTTACGGCTGACAACGAGGCACTCTAAAAGGCTGTACCAGCAGGTTACCGCATGTCAAAATGAAGCAAACAAAGATCTTTTCGGAATGACTTTCAAAAAGCTCAAATCTATTTAGACACAAATTCACTTGATAGGGTCTTTAAAAGTACCGAATCTAAACTGAGCAAATTCTTTAAAAGCGAAGAAAAATAATACACAGTTAAAATGTCCTCTTGCCAATGATTCCAATTACACTAAACACGCGTGACACATCCGCCATCCATCAAACCGATTTCACACTTGCGCCAAGCGCGCCTGTTTTCGAACGGACATTCACAAGGCAGATGCACACCTCAACCTCAATCAACCATTCACAAGTCCACACAGCAGCCAATCAAAAAGCCCTTCCTCCTCCAAGCCTCCGGCCAACTCCCCCTGAACGTCTTTCAAAAATGTCACCCCCCCCCCCCCTCTTCACAAGAGTCATCAGCACGTTTGGAGGAAGAAAAGCGGGTGAGAGAAAAGGAGGTGTGAAGGACATGCAACTTTCCTTGTCACACCTCCTTTCTCTCGCTCTCTCTGTGCATAATGCGGAGTGTGAACGCACGAGGACGCTTCGGAAATGAAGCGAGACGAGGTCAACGCAGAAAAGCATTCTTTCGCAAACAAGGCGACGAGAATGCATTGCCAGTTCCAAATCGACTCGAGGGATAAGGCGCAGTGATGCCGTCCCACATGTGACAGTGGCAACAACATTGGATTCGAACAGAATTCGAGAACGATACACGGATGTCGCCAGAATATAAAGGTCCAGAAAAATCCCAAAGCATGATGACCTTGCTCCAGCGCCAGTGATTAGACTGAGCCCAGGTGAGGCTGGCAAAATCCTTGGAAGTGAATTGCTGAGCGAGGTGGACTAAATGGAGCCGTCCACTCACCCTCAGCCACTTTGGAGATGAATGTCCTCTGACACACGGAGAGAAGGCGGGAAGGCGGGCGGGCGGGCACGAGGGAGGCCGCGCGGGGGGCCGGCGGGCCGCGAGACGCGATTGGCCGTGACAAGGTGTTGCTGATATGATGGCGGCGAGAGGTCATGTGATGATGTCAAGGCTGGCGAAGCGGCCCACCCAGCATTTGCATCATTAAGAGTCCTGTCATAGCCGATTCATCTCTTGAGCGTGTTTTCCCTGAACTTGGTCACCTAAAAACGATGCATTCATTTTTTTGGTGTTTGTTTTGACACATTGTATTGAATTAATTAAATAAACAGTTCATTGATTTCTTGTCATTGGAATGAATGAAAGCGTAGGCGGAGTTACTCCCTGGCGACCCATGCGACGGGGAGATGAGTGACAAACGCAGCTCGGGGTTGCCTGTTGGAGAATATTGGTTCCGCTTAAATCATCGCCGTTTCCACACGGGCCCATCGCACTGACGGACGACTAGAACTTATGGGGAGCGAAGCGGAGCAGAGCTTTTTTGGACTAGTAGTGGCAGTTTGTAACGCCTGGCAGGTTTTCCATGATGATGTTAACTTGGTCGCTCCGGGCTTGATTTGATGCGTTTGACTAAATTTGGAAGCGTTTCAGACGCAGATATCCGGTAGTCTCTCTGTGGTAGCAAAAAGAGCGTCGAGGAGCGGTTTGGTTTCCTTTTCTACTTACTGTGTACAGGCCAATAAGTGACATTTGCCTTCTCGCCGTCAAGTGGCAGGAAAGCTCGATTGTAACTGAGGAACTCCTGGACAATTGCAACAGCTCCAATTGATGACAGACACTGCCCCGTGGGCCACAGGCTCAAAGCAGGAATAGTTTTGTGCGGCCCAATAGTTGGTGCGCAGCCATTTTGTTCAGAATTTTCCGGGGGGGAGATATTAGGTATCAACTTCTGGCCACCCCTATTCGTGTCAGGAGTTCACCCTGCTCACCACAGTGAAAAATCTCTGGCTATGCCACTGAATGGAAGTGCTGCTAATCTAAAAAAAAAATATTATTTTTTTTTAAACTGTTATAATGAGAAAAAAAGTGCAGTACACTATAATATTGACTGACCTAGGTACACAGAAATAAAAACAGTTAAACATCTTTTGTCACGCTTTGCTTGAATTTCAGCTTATCTCAGCTCCTCTCAGAGGATAAAGAATATATGACTGAAAGGACTGTTATGTGTTAGCATTAGCATTAAACCAGCGGACGAAAGACGAAACTTTACAGTTGTTTTTAAATACACAATGTGAAAATCTTCAAATTTCATGTTTACTTTGACCGCAAACTTCAACTGCGAGTGGCATGAAGAAGCTTAAAGCTCCTTTTGTTGAACAATTGCTCAGCTTATTGTGAAGTATTCAAAACACCGTCATGCTTGATATAATTAATTGTTATAGTTAAGGGCCCGGCCCACAATGTGGCCCAAAAATTTGTAGCCATACTTCCAACATCATCTTGAGTTGTTTTTGGCGATCAGAGACAAGTAATGAACTCAAAAGAGGAAAAGATATGGCCGGCCCTGGCTGTGATTTGGTACGAGATGAAACTGGAAAGCGGGGAAGGAAGAAGGGAGACGGGCATGCTTGGGTGGGGGGTGAGTAATTGAGACGATGATGAGCAGCGATGGGAGATGGGGTGCGACGCGACAGAGGATCGACGAGAGAGGAAAGATGTCTCTCTGAGTACAAAAACCAAATCAGTGAAAATCAGGCTTCATCACACCGGGACACCAGGAGAGGAGACAAAAAGATGACGACATCACGACTTCATGCATGCCAATAAGACACAGGCACACAGCAACAGACTCTGCACATACATACACACTGAGAATTTATTCTCAATTGTCTTACCTGAATCAATAATAGGTAATAAATAGATACAAATTGACAGCACTTGTGCAATTTGGAAACAGAGACTCTCCACACTTTGCTTTTGAGCCATATATATATATATATATATATACACACACACACACACACACACACAAACACACACACACATATATATATATATATATATATGGCTAAAAAGCAAAGTGCGGAGAGTCTCCGTTTCCAAATTGCACAAGTGCTGTCAATTTATTTCTATTTATTACCTATTATTGATTCAGGTAATTTAATTGAGAACAGATTCTCGATTGTCCTCAATTTGTCTGTCCAAAACTCCAGCCAATTATGATTATTATGCAATATTATTATTGTCCAGCGTATGTTGCCCCCACTTGCGTCTGCCCTCCTGTTTCTACCCATCGTGCTTGTCGGCTGCCTGTCTGTCTGCCTCCAATTATCCGTTTTTGTTTTTTCTGCAGGCTTGGGTCTGTTGGGCCCGCTTGCCTCCCGCGGTGCCGCCCTCCCGGTTCTGCTGCAAAGTTTTGCGAGTTCACGGCGTGCTTGAGTGCGTGTCTGTTCAGAGAGCTGCCGTCTGTGCAGCTTCGCCTTCCGCAAAACCAACTCAGCTTCTCAAGTGGATGATGCGTGCATTCAGCCGAGTAGAATTTACAGTTGCCTTCCTGTTTTAATTTGTTTTGCTCTCTCTCCAGAGTGCCATGTGTGTCACATCCATGATGAAGAGCAAATAACCCCTCTCTTTTCCTCTCTCACTTTCTCACCCCTGAACCGCCCACACCCACCCTTTAAAAAAAAAAAAAAAACAGTCTCGAATCCTTTTCCTAAATCTGCTGACGCTTTCAAACCAGACTGTGCGCATTAATGAAGCCATCATAAGCCATTAGTTTGCGGGGAAACGGAATTCGGGCTGAAACAGACCAGGCACTATTTGGTCTCCACATGGCGGAGAAGAAAAAAAAAAGTATTATATTCTCTTGCATTCCATCTCGGATACACGGCGTACCATTTTTTGAAGTGCAGGGTGAACTTTCGTCATGTTTTCCTGCAAGGGGTGGGACAGTCCTAAACACTTGTGAGCGATCATCATCAA